ATAAAAGAATTTCAGTAATCTGAGATGAATTACAAGTTACACTACTTGAAGGTTAAAATCAAGCATTGTATATCTATATACGTTTATATACACACATACGTGCATATCTATATCTGTCATATATATATATATATATATATATATATATATATATATATATACACACGTTTGTTATGTGTGTGCATGTGAAAACGAGCGGGAGAACGCGCGCCCGCGCACACACCGCTGCTTGTCCCGGACATGTTGACGATGTAGGGGCTAGCCGGTGCGGTCGTACGATAATACAACGAGCACGAGGGTGGATGGCGGAAGCGACGGGGGTGGGAGAGGAACGTGGACGTTGGATACTGGATGCTGGATGGTGGATGCTGTCCGTGGGATGGCGGTGCACGAGGTGGTCGATTTCACGCGGTCGATCGCTGAACCCGCAGCTCCACCCCCGTACGCTCGGCGTTCAAGCCCATTCAAAGAACCGATGGATATAGTTCTGCAAAGATGAGTCGGGCAGAAATCGGCCTAAGACGACAACACGATCTAACTTGCATTTCCATCCCTTATTTGCTTCTTCATCCGAAATATGCTACAGATTTAGAGCAATGCAGTGCCATAAATGAATACGTTGTTCCAACATACATTCTGTCACAAGACAGAAAGAGAACGATTGGAAGAATGTTGGTGTTATGTCGAATCATGTGTACTTGATGTTGGAAGTATTTCATAGTGATCGAGTGGAAAGAGAAAAGAAGAGACGAATATTCAACGAATATTATCGAGCAACTGTGGGGGTGTTTGAAACTATAAGTTTACCATTACGTGTAATATAATGCAAAATAGCTAATGTAAGAATTATTTATAAAATAGATGCTAAGTAGAGCAAAATTTATCAGAGAATCTTCTCCCTATATCTGTAAGTAGAAGATCACAAAAATGGCTAACATGTATGTGAATAATCCTTTCATGGCAATATAATTTTGGAAGAAAAGTTTGTCTAATAGTAATAAACACTTTAATAAATTTTCTTTCTTCTTCTTCTTTGTATTTTTTTATATCGTTTTTTCTTGTGTTTTATTAGATCCAAGTTAAACAATAACAGTATAACAAGTAAATAATCAAACAGTCATCAACCCAAAGAAGGGGTTGAACTTAACTGAGCACAGAACTGAAATTTTCTCCAAAAATTCCCCGCTAGTTCAATCCCTTTAACGCGATAAAAGCAAGCGTCAATCCGTGGCGAAAAGGAAAAAGAGAAATTCTCCGCTGCGATGCAAAGAGGGGTAAGAAAGAAGCGAAAGAAAGAGAAAGAAAAAAAAAGGAAGAAGCCGCAGAGAGAGAGAGAGAG